TGGAAACCATACCTAAAAAGTGTCATCTAAATTTATCACTCCATATTTCATATTCTATAAAAAAAGCACAGCATGATGACAACGCAGTTGGATTCATCCCGTCTCTACAAAAAACTACAAAATCTTCAAAACAAAAAAAACGCCCATTAATCTTTTGAAAGTTTGAGTCTGTAAGGTGAAAATGAGAGTGAATCAATGAACTGAACTAACTCTTTATAAATATTGAACAATTGTTTGGCCAACGTCAAATTTTCAGAATGTAAATACGATGCCATCTCGGCGAAGATGCCAGCCGCAGTGACGCCGTCCTTGTCGAGAGGATTCCCGGCCATGAAACCAATCGACTCTTCCCAGGCCAATATCACATGTTTGCCTTGCTTCGTCAACTCATCTGCCTTATTTCCCATCCATTTGAAACCGGTCAACGTCAATTCATTTTTGAAACCTCAAATGCAGAATCAAACCTTCATACTCGCTCCGCCTAGAACAATATTTTGTGATGCTGGAAAGCATCATCAAGTATCTAGAGAATTCATTAAATTCTCCGTTTTGTAAGCAACTTTTCGAGAGTTTCATCAAAAATTAACCCTCTTTCGTGGCCATCGTTTTGACGATAGACGATGAGACGGCACTGTTCAGCATATAAAGATTCGATGCATCTCCGTTCGGATTCTCTTTCTTCCAAGATTTCCACGTCCACCACGATATCAACGCACCCATTTCATTGCCCGCAAATACTTTCCATTCACCGCTGAAAATTGCCATCAAAAAGCGAAATGTTAAAGAATTCCGTTCGTAAAGGGGAAAAACAATCTGTTTTCTCTTAAAAAAAGCAGTTGACATTCGGTTTTTACAAAGCGAGTTCGAAGCTGACGAGCGCAAACCTATTAGTTTAACACTAGGATCGCTCGTGAACAAATATTCATGTACAGAACGTTGAATTTATAAGTGGATTTCATACCCATAATCCAACAATATCCATTATTCCCTATCATCTAATTGCAAGACTTAGCTTTAGCTATTTTAAACTTGTGTGTTTTATGCACGAAAAATGGTGAACAAATAATAAACGAAGAATCAGTCGCGAGGAATTGGAACACATACTCCGCTTGCTTTTCAGCCAACTGGAATCGATCCGCATCCGGATCGTTG